AATTTTACATCCTTTATTAGTTTAGATTTATTCTTAAAAATACATAGCATGTTTTCTGCACCATGTTTTATTATGCGTTCCGGAACCTGCGCCTGCCTTGGTACCCCTCCACTCTCATATGCCCTTTGCCCTTCCGGCACCTTCTGATTTACAAATTAACCTGGACCAGACCCAAGTACTGTTTTCAGGTTTCCAAGCAATATGACTTTGTGTTTTTGTGCTTCCTGTTCCTAACATGATATAGAGTTTTGGATCTCTTGACCTAGACCAGTGTTTCCTACATCTGGTCCTCAGGGCCCACAGACAGTCTATGTTTTTGCTCCTGGGAGCTGGGAGGGAGCAAAAATGTGGACTGTCTGTGGGCCCCGAGGCCTGGATTGGGAAACACTGACCTAGAAAAAAGGAAATGGTGGGTGGTGACATACAGAGGGCTATTAAAAAAAGCCAGTAGAATGACACCTCCTCACTCAGGATCCCTTTGCAGCAACTGAATACAGAATCTCCTGTTTTGATGTCTAGGATGGAGACAGTTCATTCAGGACAGAGGGTGCAGAGATAGTGTCTGCCCCTTTCACCTATTAGATATTGCAATCATTATCTGTAAGCAAAACATCACGAGTAAACCCTTTAAAATCCAACCAGCTCCCATTTATTAAATAATTACATAATTATAAAATGACAAATGATCTAAATCTGACGTATAATCAAAAAGATTATTGTTTGCATAAACACTTCATAGGCTCCCATAGACAGATATAATTTTTAAGACTCTTCTTTACAGATGCAGTTCTATTCAGTTTGAACTTACGCTTCATTTATAAAGTATTCTCTGTTAAATACTGGCCTTTTACCAAGTGTTTTACTGCTTTAGATAAATGACACATCCCTCTAACTGCAAGAAGACATCAAATAAATGAGACAAGAGCATATTTCAAACAGTCTTGTGAATAGTTCTTAAGTTCAGAGGAGGTACATCTTGAATAAATGAATGAATGAATGTTACATTCATATGGCGCTTTCCAAGACACCCAAAGGACTCTACAAAACCATTTAAGAATCACTTCAACCACCGTCACTTTCTTCCGACCTAGTGCACATGATTGTTCTCCTATTAAGCAAAATGCTCAGTTCTCGGTCATCATATGTAATCATACACAGCTCACTTCAGTTCATCCTTCTAATCACCTTTTATCCATCTTCCATAACTGCTTGTTGGTGACAGGGTCAGGGTGAACCTGACGCCTATCCTAGGTAGCGTGGGACGTTTCGGGCGGGAGATTGTTTAGTACAGGTTCATTTATTTCCACGAGAAATACTCTTCCATCCATCTATCCACCTATCCATCCATCCATCTCTCCGTCTTCAAATTACACTCATCCACATCTCTCATCTTCACTGTATTATAAGTAATTATCTTTTCCCAGGTGTACAGAAACTCCTTCTTATGATATGAACTTGCTGTAATTTTCTCAGGTTCATCTTATTAACCACATCAGCACTAGTCACAGGCATGAATGTAATTACAGCCCAAATATTTGCCTTCCTTGTCACTGCTGTCTGGCCTGTTTGCTACGTGCAGGTACCCCAGATGCTCTTGACAATCCTGAAGGGTACCGTCAATAACTCCTTGTCAATAGTAAGAATGAGGCTTAATCTTATCAGAACTCTACATTCATGAAAAGCATAAACAAAACAACATGAATGAAGAGACTATGCTTATAATATTAGAAAATAAACATTTGAATACTGCTTAATGAAAAATGAACTGCACTTTTCAAACATTAGTATTTACAATTGCTGATCATTTTGGCTCACAACCATCATAAATACCAAGAATATATAAGCATGGATCTCATAGATTTTTATGTATTGAAATGTATATATGTAACACCTAAACTGTTTACATCTATTAGGCCGCACTGCCTTCTAAATGCATCCTGATGCCACTGGTGGAGTTTTAAAGTTACTACTGAAAAGGGGGCTTTGGCCCAGTTTTCAGTCATTTGGGTGATCAGCTTGCAAGTGCTAAACATAACTGCAAATGGCCACAAAGATGCATTGTGATCTGATCTCTCAAATCACTTGCTGTGGTCTGGAATGCATTCGACCACATTTCTTAGTGTAAATGCGAATGCGTCCTGATGCGTCCTCGACAAAGACTATTCAGTCACTGTGTGTGGGGCAGTGATGACAGAGCCCAGGTGGTCAGCGGAACACCTTAGAGACACGTGAGAGGTGCAGGTATAAACGGCAATGTCTACTTGTGATCCAGTCACCCAAGACGCACTTTACAATCAAGTGTGAACAGGGTCTTTGATTCATTTAGCCGCAACTGAATCATGAAACTGAATCAGTATGAAAGCCAGTTAGAATATTAGGGGCGTCACAAGAGTACAACTAAGTGTGGAAGGATGTGGCACATGAAGCATAATTACACCATATAAAAGAGCAGAATCACAATCTCTCAGCAGCCAGATCTACTTTTATTCTTACCTTTTGTGCCCTCACATCACATCCCATTTTATTCCCTCTTTGAGTTCCTGTTCCTGTTCAGTTTGAGTGTTTCTAGTGAAATGCGGTGCTCTTCCCTTACAGTGTGCCCCCCAGGAGCACTATGACTTCCCAGTGCTAGTCTAATATTACCAATATCCCAATGCGAAGTCATTTCACAAGACAGCACCTTCAGGTGGCTTCACATAACTTAAGATGGCTTAATAACTTAGGATTCCACAATTATTTTGTTTTTGGGAAGTATTGGTCACACCTAAACTTTGGCAGGGCTAGTGGAGCATAGTTTATTTGCAAAAGTGGAGAATGTGACAGTTGTGTTCCTGAAAAACCTGGACTTAAGTAAATTCTCGCTGTATAAACAACAGGGATTATGGGAGAAATGGGGCTGGGGCACAACACTCAGAAACCTTGTAAGTAAGGAATGATCGCAGTGTTATAAATAATTAATAGCTGTTAAACAGATAAATGCATAAGAACAGTAAAACAAACAGGATAATACACAGTGAACTGATGCAGTTACTGGGTGCCTCGGGTGTGTATGCTCCATGCATTTCGGTTTGGCTGGGCGCTGTTTTCTGCTCTCACCTGGTATTTGTTGCAGACAAAATCACGCATAAACGTGAATATTGGTTTATGTCGCAACTGTTCTCAGATTCACATTTTTAAATCACGCATTATAGGAGAACACGCAGTATATAGCTTGTTATGTCATCATATCTCACGTATTGTGCTGAACCCACAGCTCATTGAAACTGTGACAATTCAACAGGAAAGGTACCTGTCTATAAGAATTGTAAATTATAAAATTCTCTGGGGGTATAATGTGCCATGGGACGAAGGTGACTTTTGGCCATCCTGAAACTTGAAGCATATTGGAAATTCTGGCAAGAACTGTTACTCACCAGAATCAAAAGCCAAGCCCTAGGGGTGTTTCTAGCTAGTGAAAAGATCAGGGGCTGAGTGAAGTTTACCTGGGGCTCGACTTTTTCTCTGAAGGAAGATTGGCATCGGGGCTAAAATACTCAGGGCTAACAACACTGGCGCCAAGCTCCCTTCTGAGGCTTCTTGAAGCATACAGCTAGAGCAGACTCTTACACTGGCTATTCTCAACCCTGATGGGTAAATCATTTCCCTTGGCCAAACGGCATCCTGTTTGGTGCCAATAAAACCTGTCCTGTGGCTCTGCTAACCCTATAGCAATGTAGGTGCTCTTTGAAAGCCTGAAAAGGGTCAAACTCACAGCCAAAATAGCTTTCCTCTTAGCCCTTTGTATTGGGACAATGCTTGGAAATCAGAGCAACACATTTTAAAATAGGCAGTTTAAACGAGCATTAGCTAACTTCCTTTCTTTTCAGATTAGTTTGACATTAGCATCTTCCCAAAATGGGTTGGATTGGACGCATTATGATTCCTGGCGAACACGTTAGATTATTAATTTGTATTAATAAAAGTAAACAGAAACATAAACCTGTAGAGAATTTGCATATAAAAATTTGGTCACTTGTGCCTCGTCTTTCCAAAGATATTTTCAAAGGAAACGGCAGTAATCATGTATAAACTTAGCGAGTTCTTTCCTCATTATTTAGATCAGTGCCGCAACATCGTGACCCAGTTGCACAGCTTCAAACGGGCGCGTTCGGCTGCCATTGAGCGCTTAATCTCCGACCAGCATCCCGTGTGCTGGGGACACGTTCGCCGCCTGTTTTCCCAGGTAAAATGTACATTTTCCCGCATAACTGCAGTCAATCACTGAGTTACATCCGGCAAGGCAATTCCATGCCCATTGCTGGTTACTAAACGTAACACCAAAATATGGGGATTCACTTATGTAACACTTACGTGTTGTAAGCGGACTTTCGCAAATACATAGATACGAACAAAATTTAAAAATTAAATTAAAGGAAACGTATTTTAGTGAGGCGATGGCGTTGCTTTTACAACCACGGCGCTGTCACGCTGCCGTTTACATAGCCAATTCAATGGAGCTCCCAGATTTAATTGTCAAGCTGAAGATGAAGCGACACAGCGCCCCAAACCGTTCTCTCCCCACCCGCACTCCCACGCAAACCGCTGCCTCACATGCAAGAACATTTCACTCTGCATCTCCACCAAATATTAATATTATCATTTAAACTTTAATATGTGTTAAGTTATCCGTTCAAACCATTCATTTCCCATGGAGACATACTGTGATCCAGTACTAAATGCATCCACACTCTCCACCCTCCATAAAATTTGCCTGCAAATGACTGAACTTCTTCCCATTACGGTACATACATGTTTTTATTGCGAGTTATTTCGTGACAACTCTAAGGATTAATCGGTAGTGGTTTTAATTAGCTCGTCAGCTTTGAATACGGGGTGTCACACAGAAAATGTGATTTTAAAATAGTGAGACGGATGGAGCGGGAGAGCAGGTGTGTTTGTAATGCATATCAGGACGCGTCATGCAGGCATCCCGCCGCAGAAAGGGATTCTTTAACCCTTACCCTCAGTAGCAAAAGCCGCCTGCAACAGAAGCAAAAGCATCCCCATTGCTATCAGACTCCTAGCAGGCGATCCCTCCCTCCCGGTCTTCAGTGCGCATCCTGCGGCTTCCGAGCTTCTCCCTCCCCGTGAAGCGGGGACTGCAGCCCGGCGCCGCTCGCCGGCGTCCGCACCGTGCGAAAGGCTGTCGGCGCTCCTCACACTTGAAGCCATTTGCGTATCCAGAACATATGTGCTAGTCTTAGTCGTGAAAAAGGCATTTGATCTATTCCAGATTTGACAGAAATGAGGTGGTCCCCTTTCCGCACGTATGTTAACAGGCGCGGCGGCATTGAAACCTAGAGGGATGCTTTTGCAGCGCCGCAGTATTGCAGAGATAAACACTGATGCACATATTTCGTTCTATTCAGCTGTACCCCTTTCCTGTAGCCTATTTCCGGCTCGACAAAGAAGCAGGATAAATAGTTTCCAGCAGTTTACCGTTGATGTGTGTGAGCGTGTGTTACTGCAGTTGTTGCAAGAGACGTCATTTCATTAGAAAAAAAAATCACGTACGGAAGCATCTGTGCGAAAGTACGAAGGGGCAGCGCGCTTTGCTGAAGGATTTGTCGACACCTGGTGGCCATCCCTGCTATTACGGCAGCCTCCCGAAAGCCTCGTGCGGTGCGTTGAAGACGCCACTGTAGCTGACATTTCTCTCGTCTGTGTGTGTGTGTATGTGTGTGTGTGTGTATGTGTGTGTGTGTGTGTGTGTGTGTGTGTGTGTGTGTGTGTGAGTGAGAGAGAGAGGCTTTTATAACCGTTTAAATGAGGATGACTAGCCTGTACAGGAGATTGTATTATTTTGTCCTGCTAACACATCCGTACAAAAACAAAGCAATGATAAAACTGAATGCAATACGTATACATTGAATTTCGATGTTTCTTAATCAGGGCAGAACTGTGGGGTCTCCCACTATAAATTTTGCCAGAAAGCCTATTGACCCACCAGGAAAATGCCAGGTTGATTATAATTACAGCTGTTGCAGGGAACACCCAGGTCAGGGTGCCAATCCATCACAGGACACCTCAACAACAGAGTGGAGTCCTGGAGGTGTGAGGCCATAATGCAATTCACCAGCCACAGCTGCATGGTCTGTGGTGACTTTTCATAGCTCAACACTCAACTATTTTGTGAGGAGCTCAATACCATGTCAACATTTTCAATTCCAATCAAACATACAGCCGTAATACAATATTCCATCCGCCCCCACCCCCGCCGGAAGGTCAAATTCACATTCCCCTTGACATTTTGCACAGAGCCATTACCTAGCTTGAAATGAGCAGCATTGCATTAGTATCCAGAAGAGGCTCCCCAGTTTAAACAGGCTATATATAAAGGGAGAGATAAGACATTGTTAGGATTTGAATAAATTTTGGACAACAGACACGTTCTCAGAGGGTGGGCCATTTTAAGGACTGAATCCTCCTGCTGTGTTCTCACTCTGGGGACATGCGCAATGTGTTAATGTAACAGGACCGATTAGCTTACAAACTAGTTTAAACAGCTGATCACCTGTATCAAATGCCCGGATCCCCATCTACAGAGCGGTTAACAAGCGTATAAAAAGGAAAAAACTTTTATCCATGCAGCCATTTCTAAACCAATTAACACACACACCAGTTTGCTGCAGCAATAGATATTTAATTCAAAGTGAATCTTGACAATAATACACCATAAATTCTTATTTTGACACTCACCAAAATAGTCACCTGGAAAACCCGCTTTTTGTGACAAAGTACAGAAGGCTTGGTCACATTTAAATCACTGAGAACTAGAGAGAAATACTATCGCAAACTGTAAGAGACATTACATCCAGAAATTTATTTTCCCAGTCCTCATATTGTAAATATTGCACAGTGCGATTGCTACATGGCAAACTAGTGTAGCATAAAATCAAAAGCAAAAAAAAAAAAATAACACAAAGGAAAGCCACAAAATCTACAAATATTAAAACAGTAACAGTTCAAATTTAGTAATCAAGTCTATTTGCCGTGTAATCTAAATAGATTCCATAACTTGCAGCGTGAATTAACTTTTTCTAGCACAGCTAACCTGAAAAGGAAATAAATGTTTTTTGTTTTTTTTTTAAAAAAAAAAAAAAAAGAATACAAAGCAATCAAACCAAGTAGTAAGGATTTAAGATTAATACAGTAGCACATTGGATTAATACAAAGACCCTGAATTAACTTTGTAAGCATGTCTAAGAGTAATACCAGTTGTATATAAAATAATTTAGCAAACTAAAAACTCAATGGAAATTTTAAAACTGCAGTGTTTGATTAGTTCTGTACTTGCTTAGAAAATGCTTTTTTTGTTTATCAAATCCCATTTTGGATGACGACACTGGAATTGCCTGTTAAATCAAATCCTACTCAATTGCATTTCTCTGTAGTTTTGGTTACCGTGGGCATTTTGTGCAGCCATATTTGCTGGTAGATAACATCAAAATACAGCTTAAGTCACACATGCATATCAGACAGCAAATTCGCAGCATGTGATTTGTCAAGATCATGCATTTTTTAATTAATTGTTCTCAATGCGTATAACTTGCCATTTTCATTGAAAAGAACATTTTTAAATTGGATGCAAAAACCACCAGCGAGCCTCCATACCCGGTTCTCGTCTGTACTCATTCGCACTCCTTTTGGGGTCTGTCACCCAGTTTGATCAGTCGCAGCCCCTTGGAGCATTAAAGGTTATTCAGTAAAGGCAGTTCTCCTTTGAAAGCTACTCAGATCGGAGCTGGACTTTCCTCATGGCTGTAAACCGCGAATAATCTCCTGGAACAGTATGTGTACATTCACAGTGTAGAAGTAAAGCTTTCCGGAGACAACACAAGCGTGCTCTGAGTGTTAAGCACTGCGAACACATTTCCTGACTAAGTAGAAAGCCATTTTATAATTTCCTTGGTAACTTTTTCTTTATGAAAAAAATAATAGCCAGAGTTTTCACATTAACAATTTGAATGTGCTCATGTTATTCAACTCAATGATTACACTGACGACTATGGAGAACTCTAAGAACACTCATCAAAACAGCCTGATGAAACACATTAAAAGATTCCAGCTTCCATTCTGCCACAGTCGGATTTCCAAAAGGAGCATTAGATGTCAGACAGCTAAAGTTCCTTCTCAGCGGTGGCCATTGTGCAACATGCTGACGCTTTGTAGACAGGCAACAGTTCCTGAAATCAGCCAAGGAGCTTATATGTCCTCAGCGCCCGTCGTCATTCCCAGATAATGCTGTTCTGCTCAACAGCTTGCAAAAGCAGAATTTAGATCCCAGGAATGACGACAGCATGACAATTTCTTTTTTTGGTCAAACTGCAACTTTTGGAGCGCTGCGTCGTTCGCTGTTGGTTCTGCGACAGAATTTCACCATTCTTTACACTCCTCCCCACATTCCCCCTGTCCCCTATCTAGCGAGCGGTTGAAAAGCAGGTTTGGGGGTGGGGGGGGGGGGGGCAGGTGGTGGTGGTCAGTGCTCTAAACCACTGGATTCTCAAGGCACAAATACAGTGCTGCTCACACTGTCGTCAACGGAGTGGTCAGCGAGTCACTGAGCCCACTCTGATATGAAAGGACTAGCAAGGGGTAAAGAGGGCTTCAGACAGACCAATCAGACCAGCTTCTTATATGGTTCAGCCAAGTTACACTGAGACCAGGAGAGGAACCCTGAAACATCCCAGTCTGATTAAATATTACATTGAACAGGTAAAAACAATTGGTAGAAAACGTACAGTAATTCATGTCTTTGATAAAAATGGGTTTAAAATCACTTTCATAAGGATTGAACTGATAGCACAAATTTCATGTAATTGACAAACGTTTTCAGCTGAACACTGCAATGTCACTAAACAGGAAAAAGGCATATGATTTTCATCTAGTTTTAGCTTATTGACAGTCAAACAAGTGCTTAGTGGTGTGTTATTACATGAAGACATTACTGAATGCCTTGGCATTTCATTTACTGCTCTATGCCAGGGAAACCATACGTCTTGGAGTTAATCCTTGTTAGTACTTAACTGCCACATTGAAAAGTTAAGTCAATCCTGCAAGCTATAGCTTTGCTTGTCTACAAAATGCCAATAAGAAAACATACAAAAAATTAAGTTACATCAATACGACCATTTATATGCAGTGATGAGCCCAAAAGGTTAATGAAGATAAAATACTGATGCAAAAAACACCCCAGAAAAAATGCAACTAACTTCCATAATCTGCAATACAGTAGTTACAATGACACTCCAAACATGAAAGCAAAAAAATTAAAATCAAAAACCCACTTCTATTTCAGGTAATTAGACATACAAAAATAAGAATGCTAAGATTGAACTAAGTTAATCACCTAATTTCACAGCTATCTGAAGTGGCAATCATTATATAGCAGCTTATCTATGATACATTCAAGATAAAGGATACAACTTATTACTCGCCCAAAAGCTAAACATAGCCTCAACCATTTTTTCAATACCTTTTTTGTAAGTTTACCCCATTTCCAGAAAAACAGCGTACTTGAGGTCTATGCAAAGAGTAGCTACCTTGCTTAGGAAAATCAATTACAGTCTTTGGTGCTGCAAAAGCAACTTCATTTAAAAGTAAAGACAAAAACTTTATGCACATACCAGCAAACAGACAACGGGGAGGGGGGCACACAGCATATATATTCTCCCTGACGGAATGTATAAAATAAGCAGTCGACACCAACAAGCCTTAAATGGTGTAATAAAGGAGAAAATAAGGAAAATTCTGTCACATGCATAAATGAGGAAATTGCACACAACTCACACCTTTTCAAGCTTCAGCACTAAATCTAGATCTACATTTTATATATATATGACAATTATATATATATAAAATCACATACCAAATACTGCATGGTTTACTCAAGCTAAGATAAATCCAAACCGTGAAGAGCTATTTGCATTTGTCTTAATCTACCCAAAGCCATGCCCACCACAACTCTAAATGTTCAAAGAAATCCAAACACAAGGAAAATACAAAAAACAAAATCAACAAGTATTCAGATTGTATTGCAGTTTCATTAAACAGTATAAATACTGTTAGTAAGAGTATACTAAATAGAAATTGATTATCAAATATTAAGCAATATTTAACGTCTTGCTCTTTGTACACTAGTTCATTTGATGGGGGGGGGGGGGGGGGCAAAAAAAATACAGCAAACATTTGCCTCAGCAAAGCATGCCATCTTCCAAAACTCGCAATTTCTGAAATATCTGCTGAACCCAAAAATGACCGCTGATCAATGCTATCCGTCACATCCATGCAGATATGTGCATGTGCCCCGTGTACACACACACACACGCGCGCACGCACACACGCACACACACACACAGACCGCATTGACAGCTTTGAATTTCAAGTGCTGCAGTCCAGTACATTAATATAAGTAGTAACATTAACAACCTCAAATATTTAAGGCACTATGTGTGGGAACGAGTTACAATGCAGCGTCTCAGGACACGAACAATAAGAGCAACGTCTAGGCATCTTTCCTTACATTTTCTGCCCATGCAAAAGACATGCAGCGTGAGGAACCTTTTCTGATAAGTGAAAACCTCTGAGACACCGAACACACTGAAGACACTGAAATAACACGCAGAGTGAGACTGCCGCACGGCCTGGAGAGGCATGTGCGCCCGTCGCCCTCAGACTCGAGACGGGGATGGCTTTACAAATGGAGCAGATGTGTCTTGCACAAGGTAGAAGGCATTATAGAAAAATAGTGGGATACCCCCGATATTCAGCTGTTTTAGAGTAACCATAGAAGATCCAATGGGAAGGTATATCAAATGTGCAAAACACATTAAAAGTGAGTTTGATTTATTCTTTTTCATTAACTCTTTAAAGCTCAAAGTTTCAATTGCACCCAAGTCTACATGATTCAAAAAATAGGTTGTTTTTCTGTTGTGCCATGGCTTTGGAGATGAAAACCACGTTGCTCTCCGGTAGCCCCTGCCTCCGCAGGCGCAGGCTGCTCAGGGACGGGGCCGGGCCGGCCTGCTTGGGGACCGGCCCAGAGCTCAGATGTAGGGGTACTGGCTGAGTTTGGGGGGGCTGAGGGGGAAGCCAGCGTAAGCGGGAGAGGCGATGTAGGAGTGGGGGGGGAAGAGAGGCTTGAACTGACTCTGATGGATGGTGGGGGAGGGTAGCAGGCGTGGGTTGATGCCCACAGTCACTTGGTGCAGGATGGCACCCGGGTGGGAAATGCTGTAAGGCGGCTGCAGGACGGGCCGCGTGGTGCAGGGTGATGCAAGGATGTGGGTCACTGGCGCGGCAGTGACCAGGGGCGCTGCGGGGGGGTAGGACAGCAGCGCGGGCTGGGGGCCCCCCAGGTGCGGGTGCGCTGTAGTGTGGTTGGGGCTGCCGTGGGGCAGGGTGAAGGTGTGCCCGGGCACCGAGGGGGGCACGTAGGCCTGCTGCCGGCGGTGGCTGTAGTTTCCGTTCCACTCCTGGTGGCAGGAGCCGAAGTGTTGGACCTGGTGGGGAAGGAGGAAACATTCAGCTGAGGCCCTCAGATCAGAACTCGTCACTCCCGTGGTGCGGCACAGCGAGCCCCCTGCTGACCTGCCCAAAGCCGAGAGCCTGCTGCTGCTGTTGCTGGAATGCGCAGGTCATCTTCTGCTGCCGGTTGAGGAGCGGGGTGGAGTGGAGGTTCAGCCGGCCAAGGCCACAGCGCCCCCTGGACTGGCACGAGGTGTCTAAGACTGCGGGAGACAGCGGGCCGAGTCAGCGCAAGGGCTCTCCAGAGGGGCCCAAAGTGGCCAACCCAGTCCTGAAGCTCTCAGTGCCAAATGCGGGCACGGGCTGTGCTGGAGCTATCAGGGGGTGGGCCACTTTGAGTCCTGTCAGCTGCAGCTTCAACATGAAATACAAACACAACTGACTTGGGAGCGACCTTCTAAAGAGCATCAGACGGGCAGCCAATTTAACCCCAGCTGCATGTCTCCTGGAAGGAGAGAGTCTGACACATACTCTTTGATAGTTAACAGCTGAGGCCTGAAAATAGCCTGTGTAGGGCTTTTATGTACAGCTTTATTTCTGGAATTGGGGGGGGGGGGCACAGTAAGGGGCTTCTTTCAATGAAATATGATATCTGGGAATATCAGCTTTAGATGGGGGTCTTCAGTCAAAACTCAGCTGTCTATATTCTAACTGGCGCCCCCTACAGGTTCAGCTGGGTAATACAGAGAGCGACGGGAACGTCGAGGTACATCGAGTGCATGCTGCAAACTCCACATAAAGCCAGAGGCGCTTGCCATAGACATTCCTAAAATGCCAGTAGCGTAAGGTCTTCGTGAGGTCATCAGGACCGCTCAAACATTTCCGAATGCTTATGAAAAGCACTGAGGCATTATATAGTTTTATAACATGCACTTTGAATAGTACAGCACAGAAAGATATATACATATCACAGACCTTGATGTATATATTTGACTGTGTGCACAAACACACACCAGAATGAATTGGAGAATGTGTCCCAATAAAACCGAGATGGACGAGAGAGACAGTGAAGGGATGTGCACGCAGAACTGTGAGCTGAATGCACAGAAAGAGGCTGACTGGTACAGCACCCATAGTCACCTGTGACAAGCGCTGTGACCTATAAGGGACGTGTTATCCCCTGCCCAAGCCATGTGACCTGCAAAGCAGACATCAGCACCAGTGATTCCTCCTGACTGGTACCCCACACCCACCGCCTGCCCCGGGGCACGTGCCCTATTGCTCTGGGAAGGATCTGTTTTTACATGTTGTCTGTAGGGGCGGTAAAGGTTGATGGCATGCCCCAAGCTAGCCGTCTGGTAACCTGGTAACAGCAGCAGAGCTGTGGGTTCCTAACAAGCTAAGCGTAAAGAATAACAGGGAGTAACGGCTGAATACAGCAGGCGGGCACTTCGCTGGGGGGTGACGGTGAAATACAGCCATAGCCACTGCTGGACAGTGGCTGGCAGGTACAGCCTACGAGGGCGGCCAGGGAATCAGAGCTCGTTACCTGTGTTGGCCATCTGCTCGTCAGCCATGCTGTTGCCGTTTTGCACCCGCATGGGCGGCACCACCATAGTGCGAACGCCGGGCTTGCTGGCCTCCACCTCGGGCGACACGCGGGCCTCGCGACCCGACCGGTTCTGGTTGCTCTCGATGTAGCGTTGCTCCATGAAGGGGCTGTCACTCCGACCCGACGAATCGGAGGCCGGGGAGCCGTCCACCGTGTCGCAGCCACTCTCCTGCTCGTCGTCAGACATGCTACAAGGGCAGAGGGATCGCACTCAGAGAACACGGCAGCTGCGAATGAGCATGCAGAGGGACCCGCCTGAGCACTCTACCTGTTAGGCCTTTTGCACGGAGACGGGCTGGACTGCACCGATGCGGACGAGCTGGTGCTCAGCGTGCTATCCGGGCTGCTCAGGGAACAGACACGCTCCATGTTCAGGGTACTCTGACACGCCTCACAGTCTGGGCTGCCCTTACACCTGCAAGGATGCAGCAACCAGGAGTATGTTCAAGAGACAATAGCCAGGCCGTCAACCGTGTGCCAAGATGACGACTAAGTAGCGAAGATCAAACAGAGACCTCAGACCATGATTCCACAGCCAGAGCAGGCAGGGAAGGCTTCCTGACAGATTACAGCAGTATTTCAACCAACAGCATCAAGCAGAGACTAAAACAAACCCAGCATTTTAAATGGCTGGACAGCTGTAAAGTCACAGGCCAGGAATGCGTCTCTCTCTCTCTCTGCAAGGACCTCTAACCTTTCATGCAAGGCTGGAAAGGTGCAGACACTAGGGATTAGAGGGATACGGCTCCTGGGGTGCAGAAGGTTACAGCTCCCCAGGAAGTAAGTAACCCCGAGTAGGGGGTCCTGCCCCACACCTTCCCGCATAGAGTGCCAATGGTTCCCGGTGGGTACTCACTCCCCCAGCGAGTGCCTCTGAGTGGTGTCAGCGTCCTCATCAGTGTCACTGCTGATGGTGATGACGCTGAGCACGGGGCTGGGTGAGTCTGCGATGACGATGGCCTGACGCTGCTGCTGCTGTTGCTGCTGCTGCTGTTGGGATGCTTCATGCCCCTCGGCCTCCCTGCCCACCTCCGGGGGCGGCTCGGGCTCCGCTTCCTGCCCCACGCCAGGCCGGCCGTCCTGCACGCTCTTCACTGGGTCCGCTATCTTTGGGGACTGGCACGCTGAGTTTTGGGCATTGGTGTTGTGTATGAAAGTGTTCACCCTGCAGATGGAAAACATCTAAATCAGAGCCACAAAAAAAAAACAACCAAATACGGCCAGAGAACAGTAGTGTGAAGCAACAGGTGGACAGATGAGCAGGACCGCTGACCGTAAACACGATTTACCCAGCAGGCACTGACTCCCGATAGGAACCAGTCCAGTTACAGCTAGTACGGATGAACATGGGAGCACTTGGAAGAGGCTTTATGCAGAGACAGGAGCCCCAGCAGTACTTTCTGAAACATCTTAGTGGGATGAGGCGATGGCTCCTCTGCTGCCCATCTCAGTTGTGACCGGTCCCGGGATTCCTGCTCAACGCTGTATGCATCCCGTTTCTTTACACGGCACAGCGCCAGAGCACCTTTCCGCTCACCTGTTTTGGCAGGGCTTGCTCCTCTTGCCGGCGGTGGCGGTGGGCTGCGGCCACACCACATGTGCGATGCCTATGCTGATTGGCTGGTGGGCTGTCATGCTCATTTGGTTGGTCAGAAGAGGCTGGGCCATCATGGAGCTGTAATGGCTGCCATGGGGCCTCACTTTCCTGAAAACACACAGCAACAGGAGGCGTCAGCAGAGAGAGAGGCTGCTGTCCTGTAAGTGTTAAAGCCTCAGGCCTGCCGCTCACCCCCAATCCCCCAGTCTCTGTGGGCCAGCCACAGTGTCAGACGCCAGTGTTGTGGAGGGGGGAGCCACCGGTGCCACCTGCTGCCAGGCTGGGACCAAGATCTGCTGGGCCCGGTTAGACCATGTCTGCTGCACAGGAGAGATACCATTATGCAGGCGAGTGCAGTAGAAAGACTTCTTTGAAAACAACAAAATTCAACACAGAGGCGTAACACATCCCACCCAGGGGCTAAAAAGCCAGGCAGTAACTTACTCACTCACTCACTCACTCACTCACACTCACACACACACACACGTTTGTATTCACAACTTTGTGTGGACCATCCATTCATTTCTATGGGCAAAATCCAAATCCCAACTATGACAACCAAACAAAATACAAGACTTTTGGCTATTTAAATTTTTTGATTGCAGTCACAGATTTTTATAAAACTGAGTTTGCCCTTGTGAGGACCAAAATGGCCACAACAATGTCAAAATAACAGGTTTTTAATCACATTGTGGGTACAACTGATCCCCACAATAACATATATGCATGACCACACACACACACACAGACAGACACAGACAGCCCCTCATGTCACACCTGTGCAAGGACTCCCGGCTGGATGGGCAGCGGCTGTATTGCGGGGGCCTGACTGACCAGCGGCAGGGCGTTCTCCATCCGTACCGGGTATCCTGTTGGCTTGTTTGGGTTTGGGGGGATTCCTGTGGGACAGACGAGTGCTTGATGGTTAAGGGAAGGGTAGGGCAGCTCTGTAGGCAACCCCTGCTGAGAAGCACGTTATTAAACCCTCCAATCAATCACCACAATAATTAATTTTAAGTTAAATGACGGGAAAACACAAATGTTAAGATAAGAGTTTGTTGAAATTTACAATTATATAAAAATAAATATTATAAAGAAGGAATACAAATACTGACAAATACCTTGAATGGCTGGGGGACAGAGGATCAGCGTTTGCTGGAAGGAATCATTACAGCCAAATTGAGCACTTCCTGTCTGCAGCGGTATCCCAGGATGCATCACACTGGGAGCAGATGGTGCTAAAGCCTGCACAGAAAAATCAGGTGAAGAAGAGATATACAGAAATGTTAGACAAAAACAATGTCAGTCTTAAAACTGCAAGCATGAAAGTTAACAGGAATTGAGAGGGGAAGGGCCTGGGTGAAGGATGGAAAAAAAAGAAAAAAAAGCTGCAATTACAGCAACAACCCCGTAGGTGGCAATATTGTAAAGTCTGTAACAATTCTAGGGAGCCAATGCTGAAAACAACAAGATGCTGTTTCTTAAAGTTCACCTGCACATTAATCATGAAATAAATAATTATGAGATAATGGGCATTAACTTATAGCTGATGGTACATAAACATAATGGATCATTTGCTCAAGCATCTTTGTTCTGGGAAATAAGTCTACTGTGCGTTTTATTATTATCATTATTATTATTATTAATAATAATACATTTTTATTGATCTATTGAGGGGAAAATTCTTTTTCCGCCTCCCATTTTGCTCTCCATGACACACAGACACTTATGTAGGTGAGAGCGAGCCAGGCAGCGAAGGGCAGCCACCTGCAGTAGCGCCCTTGGAGCTGGGGGTTAAGGGCCTTGATCAAGGGCCCACAAACATGACTATCCTGCCATGGCTGGGCTCAAACCGGCAACCTTCTGATCACCGGCACAGAGGCTTAGCCTGCTAAGCCACATGCTGCCCACCTTTTAAACAGTTGCTGTCTTAATAGTGCTAATCTAATTAGCTTTCATAAATTCTAAGTCTGAAGAGATATGGTTTTGCTACAGCGGTGTAACACCGACAGCATTCTTTTTGCATGAGATACTCCTGCAGCGGTAGCCGTTTCATAAAATCCACAAGCTAAACCTGAATGAAAGCCAGATTCAATGTGCTGAAAAATTCACAGCAGAGAAAAGCTTTCCTATCTAGTGTAATTTTTTCTTATTCTCTGCAGTTCCGAATTCAAGTGAATTTCTTTGAAAACCAATAATGTACTGAATAAAAGTTCTCAGAAGGACTGAAAGGCCCTAGAGAAAATGTCCTTGTGTGAATTGAGGGAGAACGCCTCCTCCAGCAACCACAGAGTAGGGTCTCCAAGATGTGGCATGTTACCACAAGGCATTAGTGGTGCCACGTGATCTGGAGAGAAGCGACCAAATGCTGGGCACAAAAACACGTTATACCAGCAGAGTCGCTACCTTCTGGAGCTCATGGCGTACCCTCCCGGCCTGACTACCAGGCTCAACGCTTGCTCACACTGCATGGGAAGAGGCTGGTATTCAGAGGCCAGCAAGCACATGGCCAGCCACGGGCATCATCAGAGAGAGCGCTGCTGCGATGGCTCACCTGTGTATGGACCGCAGCCATCTTGTTAAAGGCCACGGTCAGGTTGGTCGTGCTGCTGGAGCCCACAGGCCTCATGAACGGAGCCTTATTGCGGTTGATGACATCGTAGGTGTTGGAACGACAACAGCATGTGTCCATAATGTGAAAGCATGATTTGACACTATGTGAAGGGAGCAAAGGAATAACGTCAGTGTCTGCTGAATAGTGAGTGCTGTATGAGCCACACACCTATGTTATCCTGAGCAATGCGAGGCTGCTATACTGCTGTCAGAGAGCAGAGTGAGCACTTTAGGAGCAGGTCAGGTCACATTCCTCATAAGAGCAGCTTATCACACAGCTTTTAACAAACGTGCTTCCAAAAAGTCTGAGGCCTGACAGAGACACACCACAGGCTGTGTGCATGCCGCCCCCCCCCCCCCCCTTACTGGTTGCTGTGGGGGAAGTCCAGCAGGTGCTGCATGGTGACGAAGGGGTGGCACAGGGCCTCAGCGGGAACGATCCTCTTCTCTGCATCTATCAACAGCATCTTCTTCAGGAGGCCGACAAACTCTCTCCTGTCAGCCTTCTCTGCCAACAAGTCACCTCCGTCCAAATTCATCACCAAGTTCACCTGGGGAATAGGAAGCCATGAGTCCATGGAGAATGGCTCCATGTTCATGCTGTCAATTCAAACCAGTGATTTGCATACAAGAGCAAACACACAGGCCCACAACTGAATGCACCTTCTTAGGTGAACGTGACCTGGTGTGTGCAGGACCTGCCTTGGGTCACATGAACAAAGCCTGCTGTTTCTTTAATGTCTTCCTGGTATGACTAATCAAGACTTAATCTGTTTGTTTTTTTTTATTTGCTGCGTTTCCCTATTTGAGCAGATAAAGTGAGAAGCCCCCAACTTCAGCATGACCACAGACTGGGCCAAAGGTGGGTCCTGAGCACAGACCCGGTGCTCATGCCACTTACATGCGCCACATCATCCAAACAGCTGAAGATGTACTTCCTCGCTTCCTTTGACTTCATGCCCGTCTCAGTCTCGTGCTCCTCAGTCGTCTGCAGAGAGGGAATGGAGATTAGGAGGGAGGCAGCGCCATCAGTGCAGGGGCCCCATCAGTGCAGGGGCCCCATCAGTGCAGGGGCCCCATCAGTGCAGGGGCCCCATCAGTGCAGGGGCCCCATCAGTGCAGGGGCGCCATCAGCGGTGAGCACAAGCACACTGCGCTCACCTTAAGTCTCCACGAAGCGTACGGGGAGTCCGACTCCCTGCAGAAGAAGCGGCTCGTTTTCGTGCCCACGTTCAGCAGGTGATCAGCCGGCTGGCCTTGCGTCTGAGAGATGTAACGGATCTGTGGAAGTGTACAGGTGTTTAAATACTGCCCAGTAAATAAAGGCTTAGTTCACACAGCAGATTCCCTGATGCTGCTCGGCTTGGAGTCGGAGAGCAGAACACGTCACGCACAGACTCCTGGGAAAGAACGCCAGAATGCAGATGCCAAAACAAATGCTGTAGTCAAGTAGTTCATCATCATTTTCGAAGAAAATAACTTAAAACATGAGCAATATTTTGCACAATCAATTAGCATCAAAGGAGGGTTGAAATGTGGTGAAGTATTGCAATGTGATGCTGCAGTGGCATGCAGGGGGGGCAGCATGGAGGGGGCCTGCAGTGCTGACGTTTGTGACGCTGGGGTGCAAGGAGGGAGGCTTCCATTAGCGCTGGCCTGCCACACAGGGAAGGGCACCGGCGGTAAGCACTTCGGCATGTTGAGGCGGCGAGCAATCTCAGTGCCCCGCCCTACTCTGTGGCCTCACCGTTTCCGGGACTCCCAGGATTCCTATCGCATGCTGTGCCATCAAGTTGAGGCCCCACCCGCAGCACACAAACACGCAGAGAGCAGCAGCAATCACAGGCACACAGCACCTCATCCAGCGAAAATGGACCAGGCCCGCTCACTGCCACACCCACATGCTGTACTGCCAGGTCAAGCTACAGTGAGTAGCAGAGACGAGCAGAGGCCCGGCTTCGGACCCATGCGACGAGAGGCTGCTGATGGGGCTGTGGGGATGTGAGCCCCCTGATGCTATAAATACATTCTGCTGTGTGGAGCGGAACTGGACCCAGAGCTGGAAGAGGGAACAGGAGCAGCCAGCCAACAGAGCTGCTGGGTGACCCCCGACATATCAGCCCTGGGGCCCCGCAGAGAGATTTAAAGAGGCAGCATAGTAAAAGTTTCAAAGAAAGGAACCAATATAATAATGGTCCAATTTTGTTTGTATACCTACGAACGATCCAGGAGACAGTCCACTCACACACACACATACGCACACAAACAATAAGCATATATCTACAAAGAGCAGTCAGTCCTATACTGCCAAAGCGAACGGAGCACTGTGATCTAGCGGATAAAGGCAGGGCTGCAGGCCTCCTGCTGCCATTGGAGATAATTGGGTGTGAAAGGTACCAACAACTATTACATTTTAGTTTAATATCGTCAATACCAATAACCGGAAAACCTCTGAGGCACCTCTGGCTGAGCGGGGGCTGGGAGTTTGCAAGCACAGATTAGTGGAATGATGTTACGTCATTTTTTTTAATTCAGTGGAAAAATAAAGATTGATCTGTGGGCCACGATTATTAATGAATTAAAAACATATCACAGGACGGTAGCTTGAGACCTTAATTTTCCATCAGTCCCATATTTTTTCAGATTGAATGTGGCAATTCTACTTCTCAGAAGAGCCAACAAAATCCTTTGCCATCCACCATGGAAATTGACTGACTGTCCAATGTGATCTTTTCCATTATTTTTGTAGTTATGTCTTTAGGTCAGGACTGTTACCAACTTTGAATATTGAATACAGATATCTTGATTTTTTGATATACGGTGCACCTCCATTGGGTGCCCAGCGAGATGTGCAGCTGTCACATCATGGGGGGGGGGGGGGGGGGAGCAGTGCCCGTGTGCCTCCCAGGCTGAAGACGCAGCAGTGACATCTTAAACATGCCTGCAAAGCAAAATGTGTGTGAAGGGCACCTGACGCTGAAAGCGACACCAAGCTGGGCGAAACCCCAAAATACTTTGGTGTCTTCCCAGGGAGGAAGGGGCTCCCCACAGCTCCGCAGCTGCAGGATGGGGCTGGAGCAGAAAGGAGGATGGCAGCGGGGGGGAGGGGGGCAGTGTACCTGGTCATACTCCAGCGCGCCTGGGTAGAGCGGCCAGCCAAGGAAGAGCTCTGCGATGACACAGCCCAGTGACCACATGTCGATGGCCTCACAGAACGGCAACCCCAGGATGATCTCCGGAGCCCTGCGAGGAGACCAGGGTGAGGCGTTTAGTGGCCACCATGCCGAAGGCGACAAACCATTAAACATTAAAGAAACAAAGCATACGCTGGTTACTCTGTGCTTCTCTGCCGCTGGTCCCATGCTGCTGTGCTTCAGATCATAAACACATTACTGGAGCGTTGTCAGCATACTGTCACTAAGCAACCCAGTAAGACGACACAATTATCTCCCTTTACGCAAACGCAGTGACTGGGCGCAAGCGTGCCATACACCCTTATACAAGCTAGCATGTCTACACGCAAGCCAGGCCACTCTGGCTTCACCTGATCACGTGGTTCATGGCACCTCCTTGGTGACGAAGGAAACATGAATCGCTTGTAAGAGCAGAGCCATTACAGAATGACATACCGAGCGGTGACCCACGACACCCAGGTCACAGCCACTTACTTCATGCTACAACCCGATCAGGGAGATGACCTGCCACTCACAAACAAGCCATTGTTCAACATGGAGGTGAGACACCCACAACATGCACTTTAAAAAAATCATCTTCCACTGTGTAACACCATAACCAGATACAAGTACGTCCAGAAGCCTAGAAAACCAAATCATGAGGTATTTCATGTTCAATTCAGTTACACATCACGATTCTTTGAGGTGGTGATTTTGAAATGTCACAAGATTAAACAAAAATATTTTAAGATATTAAACATAGGTTATTGTAATCATGTTGGTTACATTTGTTACTGTTGATGTATTTGCCCAGTTACAAAGGCTGTTTCTGCCTTGCTCTGGTCGCACATGCACTCGGATGTCGTCTAAAATGAGTAAGCATGTTGGATGTGATTCTTAACAACTCTCTCCAGTGCTGGCGAAATTTATCGGGAAACCAAAAAGTTTTCAAACTACCGATTTAAGTTACGTGGGAGTGTCTCTGGAACTGATCACAGTTAACAGTGTTTTCAGAGTTGAACATCTACTTCTTCAGGTTTTGTCCGAAATGTAATCATTTTAATTCATTGCCATTATTTCCCCAAAATATCAAGATGGTGCCGGCAAGTATGGACGCCATCCTCCATGTGCCCATCTGTTCTTACTCTTTTTTTTAATTTATCCATAGTTTTTTTTTCCCAATTGTATTTGCTTTTATATACACATACTGTTGAGTCATTGATCAGTTAAGACAGATGACCAAAGTATGATCGATCATCTGGGCTTCAGTGTCCCACTTTTACCTTCTGTGGGATGGAGACGATACTGCAGGAAGAGGGGAAAACATGCAGAAGCCCAGGATAAACTGAGGAACCTGAGTAATTGGTCTCCTGGATAATGTTTAAGTCCAACTCATTTCATTGCTGTACTGTTGTGCATTTGATAAATAAACTTTAATTTGATTGGGCAGCAGAGGACGGAAACAGCAGCAATAGGGGGCAGCAAAGGGAGCCTGCAGCCACTATCTTGCCAATTTGCCATCTAAACATATTCAGTGAATATTTCTCAGGAACATTGTACAGGTCAGGGATAATCAAGCTGTGTGGCGCAAGAAAAATTTCTGAATATTGTAAAATAACGTTTGTGGTTCTTTTCATAGTGTTTTTTAATATGTGTAATTTGTTTCACAAGGAGTGTCACAACCAGGTAAAAACATTATTGGCTTTAACATTTCCAGTTAATCCATCCAGTAAAGATGGGGCTGTACGAGGAGTATGGATTAGATGGGGTGACAGGTTTGTCATTTCAACATCTTTTCTTTCAGCACATTTTCCTGGGGCCTAGAGGACAACAGTTAAAGACAACGAGAAAGAGCTCTCAACCCAATCGGACACCAGCCACCAATAACAATACAGGGAGCATCCTGGTTGCTGGGGGGGGCTACAGCAGGTGTGAGACAAGAAGCCAAGATAGAGTAGCTGACAGCGCTAAGAATACATAGACAACAGGTGGGATCTTTAAAATATATTTGATGTAGGTTTAAAATAAACACAGGTTCACTGACAGGAAAAGTACTAATTTAAGAACAATTCACAGAATGCCGAACCACTGCCATTTTTAGCAACAGTAAAGTCAACATTGTAAACCGAAATTATGGAAGCTTTTCAGAAAACTAAAGCCCTCATTCACTACTCTAAAGTAAACAACGTCAGGAGAAGACACACATTTGTATCACGACATCATAAACCCGAACGGTAAAGTATAACAATAGTTTAATTTTTCCCCCAAATAAACAGGGGAAAAGTTTAAAAAAGAAACCAGAAAACCTGGGTATCCCAGCAAACCCTCTAGAGCAAAGACAAAGTCACACAGAACAAAGAGCTCCTTCCATTGCAGCTCCTAAGGTGATTTTAAGGCATCACCCTGTTATCTGCCAAGGACAGAATCAGGCTCCCCAGCGAGGAGGCGACACACAGGGTACAGCCAAGACCCTCCTGACCAAGGGCAACAATGAGGAGACACTGTTCTTCTGCAAGGTGGCGTGTATAACTATGACAAGGGAGAAGAATGGGTCCTACCTCATGTGCTCAAACCTCAAGTTTGTTCTTTTCCAAAAAGGAGCTTAAAAGAAATTCAGGCCATTCAAGCCTTCCTGACATGTTAGTATATGTACAAAACAATACGACTGTAGACAATATTCTGCTAAAGAGTCTGTTCTAACAAGACAAGCACAATGACCCGAAGAATGTAAATGAGCACCCAAACATGTGAAAAGCAATCAATGGGCCGTTTCTGCCGGGTGCCGTGGCGGCCAGGCAGACACCCTGCAGTTCTCAGCCAGCGGCCCTGACAGCTTCCTAATGCCATCTCATGTGTGAAAGAGCAGACTACACAGCAAAGGAGTCATTTAACATCTTCATAACATGACACAGCTCCACATGTTCAGATTCCACCGCTATATGACTATGCTATGGCTCATTGGGGGTGGTCAACTCGGCTGATCAGCCACTGGGGTGGGGGTTTTACCAAAACGTTCATTTTCCTCTTGCCCCTGAAGCATTGCGCTTTGCTGAACATCATCTTTAATTCGCAGGACAGGCCCAGGAGGCACAGACCCTCCACACCCTCGCTACCCAAGAGCGAGAGAATCACTAAAGAATCATTGGGGCTTGGGAAAAGGTGAACGCTGCGTACAGATCGCAGTTTACCCAGCTGCAGCTCTGCAGGTCACCATGGAAACAGCAGTTAACCACAAAATCACCTAAGGACACCAGCCACTGTGAAAACACATCAGCACTAAATTGAATAAAACATATGCTTGTGAACGGTATAAAACCTGCTGAGTGCGATGATGGTACTATACACTTAATAAAAGCCCATTACGGACAGCGGGTATCCAAGGAGCAGCTGAAGGTGTCAGGTGAGTAGACAGCTACAAGAAACAGGAAGACGACAATTCCAAACTATAGAAGGCCGCTGAGAGCAGGGCGTAGACGGCATTGCGACTCACACTGCTATTCACACGCACACCGAAGTGATCCACATGAAACCACACAAACATTAACATGGAGCCGAGACCGCCGGTTTCAGGGACGCTGTTCAAATGCTGCTTTTCTTCATCTATTCTTTTCTCCCATGCAGACAGCAGTATTGTATTACTCCGCATGAAAACAGATCTAAAAACATCCCTGAAGCAACATGAGCAAAAGAAACCCAACCCATGACATTATGGGAAGAATGAGCATTTGCTTCATGAGCCCAACGTCTGTGAAACTTAAGACCTCGGGCCTCCACTCACAGGCCCCCAAAGGGTAACACTTAACACTCAGCATCATGGGAAGGGCCTAAAGCCTGGTCCCCAGCAGCAGCTCCTGGCCCAGCGACCGTCACACCGAAGTTCAGGGTTTAACAAGAATGTAGGACAACTGGACCCAAAGCAGCCAGACAAACCGAAGACGGACATGGCATATACTGCTGTGCCCGGGAAACGATTCTCTGCGGTTGGCCCAGGGGCAGGAGAACCTTTTGAGCCATCTGAGCACAGCCAATCAGAAAGTGACACACCCTCCAGCAGCAGAGAACAAGACCAAAGATGACAGCAAGGTTAGTGAAGCTGAGGCCCAGCGTGCAAAAGCTGCCTCCAGGGGAAGCCAAACGACGTCAAATGGCGAGAATCACACCATATAGAAGTTAGAGAGACAGGGGAGCCCGACATACACTCAACTTCCTGAAGAGCACCTGCCACTGGCAGCAAGCTCCAGACACACCCTGTGAGAAAGGCACACTTCCAGCAAACAGCTGGTGGTGTGCAAGCTAATTTTATTTTGATGTAGCGCATGCCTTGAGTGACTATTTCCCCAATTAAAGCACACTGGGCCATTCTGAGCTCTCTGAACAGTGTCGGCTTTAGGCAATAAAGGCACATCTGCAGACAAATGGTAGCCGCATAAAATCGAAATAGTACAAAGTTCAGGCCCATCCCATCCAAGATGCTTCAAGAGATTGCTGGCAAAGACTAACGGGCCGGGTGGCCACTAGTCAGAGCAATTGGTCTTCATGAGGAATCTTGTGACCCATTAAAAGCTTATTGGCTCTAAAAGTGGCTACGGCAGCCATCGATCTGTCGAGCCCAGGGCTGTAGCCATGTGACACGTGTTAAGTAGATGTAATCATGCCCAACGTGGCTTGAAGGGGGATGGGGGGGTCAACTAACAGACGCAAAAAAATATAATATAAAATTTAAAATGTTGCACGTCATTCATGTTTTGCATATCTGGTGCAGCTCCCAGAGAACAAACACAGCTGATATGTGAACCTCAGGAGCAGCAGGCACAGCGCCTTCCGACTATGCTGCGTGGCCGTTCCCTTGGCAACAGGGCACTTCAGAAGCTTCCCTAGCAGCACCACCCTTTCTCTTTTGCTGTACGAAGTGCGAGTGACTGACGCCTGCCGTCTCCGGTGAGCCAGAGGGCCGTGAGCACAGCCAGTCACGTGGACGGAGGGAACCCGCTGGCCGAGCATGCCACAGCCAAGCACGTGGCCGCAAGGCACTGCAATTCAACACAGCCATACAGGACGCACTCAGGCTGA